ATAGGTCACAATAAACATTGCTTTGTTTACATTAGGACTATGTGTGGTCTGCTCTGCACTGCACATCGTATACAGCAACATGGCTGCACATCAGACAACAGCAAAGCAGGGAAGGAAACAGCAGAGGTAAAAGGTTATATATAGGGTTGCCACCTGTCCAGGATTCACCCGGACAGTCCAGGTTGTGAATGCTGTGTCCAGGTTTCATGCCAGCAGAAACGCGGACGCAAGATGTCAGACAGAGAGGGGCAACCAAAATTAAGATTGGGGCTACTGGCCCCCCACTGGAAATAGTCTCAACGGTGATATTTACATATGAATAAGCCATGAATCATTCTCCCAAGAAAAAAATGTCAGCGCATTGCTAGAGTGTTCGGGTTTTCCTTGAAGAAAAGGTGGTAACCCTAGTTATATACCATACGGCAACATTGCTAGTTACTCCTGGACATAATAAAGAAGCCAATATCTACCTGAGGTGCATTTAAGGCCAACCTTTGATGACAGCTCTTAGAAGCATTATGCATAATACCTGCCAATGAAGTTGCAAGGACTGAGTGCAGGGAAGGAAAAGGCAGAGATAAAAGGTTATATACCATACTGCAACATTGCTTGTTGCTCCTGGAGATAATAAAGAAGTGAATGTCTATCAGAGGTGCAGGTATCCTTTAAGACCAACCTTTGATGACAGAAAGCATATGTATACTACCTGCCAATGAAGTGGCAAGGGCAGAGGACTGAGTGCAGGGAAGGAAACGGCAGATGTAAAAGGTCATATACTATATTGCAACATTGCTTGTTGTTCCTGGAGATAATAAAGAAGCGAATGTCTATCAGAGGCGCAGGTATCCTTTAAGGCCAACCTTTGATGACAGCTCTTATAAGCATTATGTATACTACCTGCCAATGAAGTGTCGGGCACTGTTGCAGTTACTGCTTCCTACTCAGTGCAGTATAGTAAAGGTTAATGTCCTCAAAGTGTGGAGAAGAGAATAGAAGTGGCTTACTAGAGTCAGGGAGACAGTAAAAATCAGACATCCAATCATGAGGAAATGTTCTTATTTTGTTTCATTCCGCTGCACATGATTGGATGTTTGTAGTGATCACAGGTTCATTTCACAATGAAAATTTAAAGAAGATTTGATAGGTTGATGGAAATATATCTTAAAAGAGAAAGTCCAGGAAAAAGAGGGAGAGAGGTGAGCAGTCACCGCCGCAGGACTGAGGATCAGGGGAGCGTATCTGCTTTATTCCAGCCATTAAACAAAATGAGCACTTAACCCTTTCAGTGTGGGGGCAGCCCCACTACAAGGGTTCATTTTGGTACTAGCTGGAGTTCCTCTGTAACCTTTCTGTGTTCAGTACGGTTTGCAACTTAACCTATCTGCTTCCCAAAAATTGTGCAGTGTATAGCCAGCACATGCATGGCAACTTATAGTTGCAACCTTGGCACTCCAGCTGTTGTGAAACTACAAGTCCCAGCAGGCATTGCAAGCCTCAGGCATGATAGTCACAGGCATGACTCCCAGAGGCAAAGGCATGACGGGATTTGTAGTTTCACCACAGCTGGAGGGCCGAGGTTGCCTACCATTGCTATATAGTGTTGTCCTGTTTTTAGAACTACAGGCAGGTATACAAAGTAGCATTTATACCACTGTAATGTTGGGGAGCTCACAGAGCACTCGCACAGTGTTTTTCCATTAACAAAGTCTTTATTTTTCTTTCCAAAAGGTAGACAATCCAGTAGTCCAACATAAAATAGCTTGCTGCAGCATATAACATACACTGAGTGGCCAGATTATTATGACCACCTGACGTTTGTAGGCAAATTAGCTATAGTTCCGCGCTGAAGTTGCTAGAGGGCCAGACCATTATAAATAGGGAAGCAGGTTGTTTACCGCGACAGTGGAAGTGATTTTTTTCTGAATATATGGGTAAACACCGCGATTTAACAACCTTTGAACGTGGGATGATTGTTGGCGCTCGGAGCCATGGAGCGAGTATCAGCAAAACAGCAGAATTCGTTAAATGTTCAAGAGCAGCTGTTGTTAAAGTGTTTAAAGACTGGACTGTCAGCCGAAAATCTGGGTCTGAACGTGCGAATTGTGGTCAGCGACTAGTCAATGTTAGGGCAGAACGGAGAGTGGCAAGACTGGTACAAGACAACAGAAGGGCAACAGTGCAGTGTCGGATTCCTCGCATCACTTTTCAACATCTCGTGGAGTCACGAGGCGGCCCAACGAAGTACTGATGGGGTGGTCGTAATAATCTGGCCCCTCAGTGTATATGGGCTCACCAATCCTCGAGTTGTCCCCCCACACTCAGTGTCCCCGTCATGTAACAGTTTTCTCTTGCAGCACTGCTGCTCCGGCCTCAATCCTCAGGGCCACTGTCTGTCACCTCCAGACAACCCCAGTAACATGCTAACCTGCACCATAGGTTTCACGAACCCGCAGCTCCCTGCTGCACTGGCCTTTACTCTGACTCCTGGATGGAGTTCTCCTGACTCACAGGTGGGGCCCTGAACACTAGTGATGGGCTCGGGCGTGTTCGCAGCTCCACGTGCCGAGCCCGCCAGGAAGCTGACAGGGCCACAGCGCCAATCACAGGTACTGAGACATTATCCCGGTCCGCAGCTGCAGAGATCAGGATATGTCTCAGTGCCTGTGATTGGCGCTGCAGGGCTGTCAGCTTCCTGGCAGGCTCGGCACGTGGAGCTGCGAACACGCCCGAGCCCATCACTACTGAACACATCACAGCACACTCTTCGTGAGTGATGTGCATAGGTGCACAATCAGGTGCTGGTCAATACTAACCCACGGACTCAGGACTGGAGATTTCGTCCCACCCAGAGCTCTAAGAAATCTCCTGGCTCCAGGATCCCAACTAGGATCCAGAAAACAAGGAAAGGACCGAAAAGGCATTTCTGTCCTGGTACTTTCTTCCTGGAGCCACTCAGCCCCTCTGGCTGAGAATCCTCGGTCACTTTGAGGCCACATAACACAGTGGTATTGCCACGCAATGCCACACCAATTAAGTCATTCTGAATTGAAAAGGCTGGTCGGATGTCCAGTGAAACGTCTTCAAGAAAAATACAGCAAGTCCAGTTGCCTTGACTTATGTTTGACAGATATACCATGACCTGGATGAATGAGAACATTCACACAGTGGCGGAACTACCGCCGGTGCGGGCGCACCAGGGCCTTGGGCCTCTAGGGGGCCCAGCACAGTCCCAGCGCCGACAGAGAGAGGGGAGGCAATCTATTGAGAGAGGGGGGCCCAAAAAAAAATCTTGCACCAGGGCCCTTTGTTCCTTAGGTCCGCCACTGCATTCACATACATGTTAATGCGTAAGTTCACCTTTCAGACCATGCTCCATGTTACACTTATATTTTGGGTGTAACATAAAAAATGATCACAGTCCAAAACGCCAAAACCCCCCGGTTTACCTAAAAAGTGGGGTTCTTCTCCTTGCTGTCTTCAGTTTACATCTGAATTCGGGATAGAGGTGTGTGACTCTGCCCGCACAACCGCCCCGTAAACAAAGGTCTGTACGAAGGGGCTGGGGGAAGACTATGCAGGAACCTGTGATCCTAGTTGAAATTCTTTGCAGGCTACAATGCAAAAAAAATTATAATTGCCCATTTTTCCTCTCATCAATGTGTGTGCATTTATTAAAGTGATAATAAAAGGTCTAAAGGGTCTGATATGAATTGGGGTGTGGGAACAGCACGCTGTTTTATAAAAATTATTATTATGTATGTGGACTGTAAAAAGTTAAAGTGATATTAAAGTCAAAAGGATTTTAAGCTATTTCAAGTGCCGATGAACTCAATTACAATAGATGCTGCTCCTTGAGGTTTAAAAGTTTTAGTTTCCTGCAGAATCAGCTGGTGTCCTGAGCACTGGTCCTGACTTCCTGTTTTAAAGTGACTCCTTTCTCCAGCAGAGTGCTATGCAGTCACCCTTATGTGTGCTAGTAAGCTGTGTTTGCCTCCACAAACACACAGACGCAGCAAATCTAGCTACTTCCCTCCTCCCTGGCCCCCTCTGCGTCCTCCTCCCTTCTCCAAGCTAGTAGATGAACAGTTGCTGGAGTCTGTTCTGTCCCTTGTGATCTTGTACTGGACAGGAAGTTCTGGGAAGCTGAGCTGAGAGACTTGGAAGCAGCTATTTTGAAACATGATGATTGCAAGTGTTTGGGCAAAAAAGTGAAGCAATGCTTTGCTGGGCAATGTATATTTGTTTGATCTGGATTCATTATTGAAAAAAAGTCAGAGCGCTTAATACGACTTTAAAAAGAAAAAGGTAACTTTGCTGCAACGAAAATTAGTTCGTAATTATCTAACGCATCTGAAATTGCCAAATGCGAATTTTTGTTACTTTCGGGTGGTGGTTAGACGAATGTTTGGAAATAAAATAACGTAAAATACAAAACACATTTTTTGCCGCCACTTGTCTATTTAATACTGTAATGTTTTCAAAAGGTTAACTATGCCTTTAACATTTGTATACCAAACGTTATAAAAAAAATTAAATACATTTTTGTATAATTTCTTTATTATAGCAGCAGCTGCACCGCTGAATACGCAGCTATAATAAAGATATTAGACATAACAAATTGTAATAGGTGAGATAGTGTTACAAACTCTTTTTAATTATCATACAATAAAAAAGTATTTGCTTTAGATAATAATAATAAAAAACTTTGAGCAAAGGCGCAAAGATTACAGTATGGAGCCTGTTGCAGCCACACTGATAACAAGTTGCATAGGGTTCAGCTTGAGATCTACCCGGTGCAGCTATTAAGCTGATCCATAGTCTGTATTCTGGGCAGAGGGAGGGTGGTTTTATTCAGTGCTTTGCCTTTTGTTCTCACTCTGCTCCCCCTTCATGCCTCCACCCCCCAAACAATCGTTTTTTCAGTAACACTGAACTCAAAGACTCAGTACTCAGTGACTGGAGTTTGTCTCACGTCCAGCTTTATCCAACACAGGAAAAAATGTGAGAGGGAGTAGAAAGGGGGAGTCCATGGTAAGGGAGAGGGCTGTTCCAGCTTTGTACCTGCCCTCCAGGTGTGCTCACAATCCTGTGGAATGTCAGAGACAGCAGAGCAAGGTCTGAGTCACGCACAGCCCTCCATAAAACTCCTTTTTTTCTTCCTCTCTCTTTTACATTTTTCACAGACAGGGAAGAAAAGACCTGTCCCTCCTGCAACACAACCCACTCCAAACGCGCTCTCTGGACCTTGTTTTTAACAGGATACCATCAACCGTGAAGAATCCCAAAAGGACGAACCGAGATTTTGGCATATATTTCTCCAAGTGCGCTCCTCTGGCTCTGCGCAGGATCAGTGACTTTGGAATTATACTAAACAATTTGGTCTTTGGGTCTGAATCAAAAGGAGTCGTCTATCTGGTAAGTCTATAACGACGGTACACAAAGCTTTGACTTTTCTTTATTTCCCTGACCTCTGTCGCTGTTGTGAACTCAAATTATTAGGCATTCAATTTAAAGAATGCAGGAAATTGCATAAAGGTTTTTTTTTAAATTCGTTGACTTAGTATGCACTGACATTAGCTAAAAGGAGGCATCACACCGTTAGTTCCTGTAATTGTGTTTTACAAAGTTTTAAGTAGTTTCTTGCGTCTCATAGTTGGATATCAAATTGTTTTCTTAGTAATTTGTGTTTTATGTTTTACTATGACAGCTTGTTTGCATGGTGTGTACAAAAAAGGGTTAATGCGGCAATGCGTTAGGGTAAACTGATATAATAATATACACTTTGAACTGGCACATTTTAATGTAGTACAGGTTTGCTTACAAGAATCTGCAAATGCTTTAAACAGTTCTTGGATTGCAGCAGATGTCTTCAGTGTTAAAATCTTATTAGGGTAGACATTGAAGGTGATTGTGAAAGTATAATCCCTTCTGTTGGCCATACACAGCTCAATATAATCAAGCAATGCGACCAGTTAGAAATATCACTACAAAATAGCACACATTATAACCGCTAGTGCGTTTCAGCTGCTTCCAGCCTTAATCATATTTATTATTAAATCTGGTAGCGGCTGAAACGCGTTGTCGGTTACGATGTGCGCTATTTTATAGTTATATTTCTAATAAAGCCTTCTTATTAAGGTAGACAGTGAAGGCAACTGTGTATAATCCCTCAGGTTAGTCATACACAGCTCGATAGAAGCAAGCAATGCAGCCATTCCAAGCATCTCATTGAGGAAGACAGTGAACGTAACTGTGAAAGTGTAATCCCTTCCATTCACCATACACAGCTCGATAGAAGCAAGCAATGCAGCCAATCCAAGCATCTCATTGAGGAAGACAGTGAAGGGTATTGTGAACGTATAATCCCTTTAATTAGCCATACACTGCTCAAAGATTAAGCAATGCGACCAATTCAAGCATCTCATTGAGGTAGACAGTGAAGGTAATTGTGAAAGTATAATCCCTTCTGTTGGCCATACACAACATAATAAAATTAAACAATGTGACCAATTCAAGTATTTCATTGGGGTAAAATAGGAAAGAAATGTACCTGCTCAACCTCCACCCATAATAAAACATTCAGGGATTGCTGGTGGTCCGTTCTCCTCACTCAATGTACAGAAGAAGATAGATCTTGTGGCACACAGCTTCCAAGTTCCAAGGCTTGATTAGAAATATCACTACAACATAGCACCCACCATAACCGCTTACTCGTTTCAGCATCTTCTGGCCTTAATCATAACTATCATTAAGTCTGGATGTGGCTGAAACACGTTATCAGTTATGATGTGCGCTGTTTTATAGTTTTATTTCTAATAAAGCCTTCTCATTGCGGAATACAGTGAAGGTAATTGTGAAAGTGATTCCTCAGGCTGGCTATACACAGCTCGGTAAAAGCAAGCAATGCGACCAATCCAAGCATTTTATTGAGGAATACAGTGAAGGTGATTGTGAAAGTGTAATCCCTCAGGCTGGCTATACACAGCTCGGTAAAAGCAAGCAATGCGACCAGTCCAAGCATCTCATTGAGGAAGACAGTGAAGGTAATTGTGAAAGTGTAATCCCTCAGGCTGGCTATACACAGCTCGATAAAAGCAAGCAATGCGACCAGTCCAAGCGTTTTATTGAGGAAGACAGTGAAGGTAATTGTGAAAATATAATCCCTCAGGTTGGCTATACACAGCTCAATAAAAGCAAGCAAAGCGACCAATCCAAGCATCTCATAGAGGAAGACAGTGAAGGTGATTGTGAAGGTATAATCCCTTCTATTGGCCATTCACAGCTCGATAAAAGCAAGCAATGAAACCATTTCAAACATCTTATTGAGGCTGACAGTGAAGGTGATTGTGAAAGTATAATCCCTTCGATTGGCCATACACAGCTCAATAAAAGCAAGCAATTCAAACACTTCTTTGGGCAATCAGGTGGTGTACAGGTGCAGTAATTGTCATTTCTGATTTTCGTAACCAATTGTTCTTAGTTACAAAGCGAGATTATGCCGCATGTTGAGACAAATAAATGATTCCATTTTCTTTGGAGGAATCGTGAAGTCTTGGTGGCATGCAAGTGGTTTTAAGATGGTCAGATGTCTTCTCTCGCTTCCCATTATTCTCAAAGATACATCTACTCAGATATGGTTCCCCATCCACAATGCTTTGCAATCTAAGCACATATATACATACATGTTTCCATGTTGGGCGTTAACTGGGAAGTTGCAGTTCACACACAGTTGGTGCAACAATACATAAACAGTTCCCTTTACCTTCTCTCCGGTGTAGAACATTCAAAGCTTTTCTCCAGTTTAACCCTTGATCAGCTGACTGCGACTGACAGCTTTGTAAAGAGTTTGTTGTAATGTCACTTTAACATATCTCTAAGCGTGTTGGGACACTGCAAATAGTTGTGTGATGGGCCACATAAATTACACAATGGATGTTTTGTTAAAACTCCTCTCCCAATGTTACTTGATACCTTAGGTCAAGATTGTGGGTGTGAGCAGGTACAAGTCAGCAGAAAACATCCCTTCAGGGAAATGCTCTAAGTATTCAGTATTCAGTCTGTAGGATCAGAAGAGTGTACGCTGCAGTGATTTTCAAAGTGAAGAACAAGTCCAAGTGCCTGATTAGTAAGACCAGTCGGGACCTCCCACTGCTAATACTGTTCACTGTCGTCAGGGCTACATGCATTGGCAAAATATGGTCAGCTGAGAGCTCTCCACTGTTCTGCAATTTAGAATCCTTTTTATTAGGGCGGCTTACCAGATGGATCAGGAGAGGACTGGACTGAGGGGCAGGTGGGCATTTGTCCCTCAGGCCAATACTTATAAAATATGTTGGGTTGGGGACCCTAAGTAGAGATTCTTCCCTCATCAGATATTGATTAGAGCAGGACCAAGTCAAGGACGCTTGCTGGTTATTATACAGATATCCGCTATCCATTAACCGTTCAAACCAGCGTTCACATAAACTCTGAGAAGCCTTGTGACAAAATGAAGTTGATGCTGTAAGATAGATGGGAGCACCTCTCTTTCACCATGGTCAATAATTACTGCAACACCATGGCACACTTTGCAAGGTCCAATTTCTCAAGCCACACAGCTCTCTCCCTTCCATTAAAGGGTCAAGTTCACTGTGTTTGCCCCCCATCCCCAGATCACAGGTTCCCAGTCCTCCCCTAGGCCACGGGAGCTGACCTTAGACAGTAGAGAATGATCTAGGTGCCAAATGTCTTTCCACTGACACATAGACTTACTTGTCTGTATCCTATGAGCCTTTGCTGAAGGAATATCTGTTGATGGATGTCATTGACTCTTTTTTGTTGTGTATACATGTCTCGTTATTTGGAAGTAAGTGATATTGGATATTTTGAATACATTACTGGTATGGAGGTGTAGTCTTTTTAGGCACTTTTTTGCATTTGAATCTATTTGGGTCCTGGGGTGCACACCTGGCTTTGCTGAGAAGTTGGAATTCCCATATATAACCTTATACACAGCATACACCCATAAATGACTTTTTAGTGTCTCTCCCTTATTGAGGTCTGCTGAGAGTGTCCAGATGCCAATGGTGGCACAGCATTGCCTATTTTTATACTTCCCATCTTTTAAACATTATAGGTACCATTAAAATTGATACAAACTTTAGGAAAGGTTGTTTTTTGTATGCGGGTTACACGCGTGTATACAACGTTGTGTCTAAGGGAGAACAATGTGTAATCACTAAACAGTGTGGGCTAGTATCTTCATCATTGCCAGTCACAATGTGAATCTGTGAAAGTAACCTGCCACAAACGTGGGCAATGAAGAATGAGCATACAATTAACAAAATGTATATGCAGAGAATATTGAGTGACAACCTCATGTCAGAGCAATCATTAGTTCTGGAGATAAAAGCAGCTGAACTTATAAGCAAGCCTCAACTTTTCCTGTAACACTTGAGTCTGGCCCCTCTGTCTCCCTGGTCTCCCTATTGATTACCTTAGTGCAGTTGTGGGCAACTCCGGCCCTCCAGCTGTTGTGAAACTACAAATCCCATGAGGCACTGCAAGACTGACAGTTACAAGCTTGACTCCCAGAGACAGAGGAATGTTGGGATTTGTAGTTAAAGCACAAATGGAGGGCCGTGGTTGTCCACCGCTGCCTAAGTGGATGGGTGGGGTCACATTAAAATTGTATTTAAACTCAGCCGCCTGCATCTATTAATCATTTTGACATGCAGTTCTCACCAAAGGTAACCTCTGCATTTTCTTTTACCATATGCTCACCCCGAATTGGGCAGTTTCTTTGCTTTAAAGAAGAACTCCAGACAGAAAACAAGTTAACCCTTGCAGTGGGGCTATCCCCACACTGCAAGGATTAATTGCTTGTTTTGGTCTAGGGTGTGAAATTAAAATGATATCCTCACCCGATCCTCGGACATGCCTGGTTGGTAGACCATGCCTCGTAGCCTCTCTCTCCCTCCGCTCCAGTGGTGGACTGTCCCTTGGCGTCCTCACACATAATACAATGTATTAGACATGATGACTCATGGGTCATTAGACCACTTGAGCGGAGAAGGAGTAGAGACTGCGGCGACCAGCTCAGAGGATTGGGTGAGGATATCTTTTTTATTTTACACCCTAGACCAAAATGAGCAATTAACCCTTGCATTAGGGGGGTAGCCCTTCTGCAAGGGTTAATATTGTTTCTGTCTGGAGTTCTTTAAGTTGGCATTTGTTAACTATATCGGTCAAACATGGTCAGATGTTTCTTCCAAAATAACTGAAGATTCAATATATGGTTGTAACATCACAGATCTCTATATACAGGTAGTGATGAATCCCTCAACTTCTCATTATGTGCTTTCCAGACAGATCGCAGATGCCAGCATTTCCTTTACTATTAAATGCCTGTGTACAGAAAACAACAAATCTGTGAA